CCTGTCCCTGTCCCTGTCCCTGTCCCGGTCCCCAATGTCCCGGTCCCTGTCCCCATTGCCGCCGTCTCTCCCGGTAGTGTGCCTGTCTCTTTAAGGTATCTCCCGCCTCTCCAGTGACGTCACGCGCGGCTCAGCCAATGGGCGGCGGCGCGGGGGGCGTGGCCGGCGGCAAGGCGGGAAGCGGCGCGGGCGGGGCCGCCGCGGGTTTGGCGCGCGCGGGGGGGACGCGGCGGCCGCGCTCGGGACCCCCGGGAACCCCCCCAGGGACACCCCGGGACAACCGGGGACCCCCAGAACCCCCCCGGACACCCCGGCCCCGCCGGGGACACCCCCGGCACCGGGACTGCCCCGCAGCCCCACCCCCACCCCGGATATCCCTCCCGGGGACCCCCAGAACCCCTCCGGGGCACCCCCGGTGACACCGGGACACCCCCGGGGACACCCAGAGACCCCCGGGATAGCTCCGGAACCCCAGCCCCACCCCGGATATCCCTCCCGGGGACCCCCAGAACCCCTCCGGGGCACCCCCGGTAACACCGGGACACCCCCGGTGACACCCGGACACCCTCGGGAATACCCAGAGACCCCCGGGATACACCCGGTGACAGCCCCGGATCCCCACCCCCACCCCGAATATCCCTCCCGGGGACCCCCAGAACCTCTCCGGGGCACCCCCGGTGACACCGGGACACCCCCGGTAACACCGGGACACCCCCGGTAACACCGGGGATACCTCCGGGGACACCCAGAGACCCCCGGGATAGCTCCGGAACCCCAGCCCCACCCCGGATATCCCTCCCGGGGATCCCCAGAACCTCTCCGGGGCACCCCCGGTGACACCGGGACACCCCCGGTAACACCGGGGACACCCCCGGGGACACCCAGAGACCCCCGGGACAGCTCCGCAACCCCACCCCGACCCCAGATATCCCTCCCGGGGACCCTCGAGGATACCCAGAGACCCCCAGGGACACCCCCGGTGACACCGGGTACACCCCCGGTAACACACAGAACCCCACCGGCGACACCCCCGGCGACACTCAGGGACCGCCGGGGACACC